CTGGCCGGGCTCGGTGGCTCAGCCTGTAATTCCGCGCCTTTGGGAGGCTGAGGTGAGTGGATTGCCTGAGCCTGCGGGTTCGAGACCCGCCTAGGCAGTGAGACCTCATCTCTACAATAAATAAAAAAAATGAGCCGTGTGTGGTAGCGTGCGCCTGTAGTTCCAGCTACTCGGAAGGCTGAGGTGGAAGGATCACTGGAGCCCAGCAGGGCAAGGCTGCGGTGGCCGGGAGCGGCCACTGCACTCCAGTCTGCATGACTGAGTGAGACTTCAACTGAAAAAAAAAAAAAAAAAATTCTGCAGTTGTTGATACAATAGAAAGATATATATATATATATATGTATATATATGATTAAAACTATATATCATCATAGATCATCTCAAGTTTACAAGTGCAAATATAGCAAAACTTTCTCCTCAATTATTTAATGATACTTTTTCAACCTAGCTGGATGCAGTGGCTCACTCCTGTAATCCCAACACTTTGGGAGGCTTGAGGCAGAGGATTGCTTGAGCCTAGAAGTTCGAAACTAGCCTGGGCAGCATAGTAAGACCTCGTCTCTACCAAAAAAAAAATTAAAAAATTAACTGAGTGTGGTAGTGCACGCCTTTAGTCCCACCTACTTGGGAGGCTGAGGCAGAAGGATTGCCTGAGCCCAGGATATTGAGGCTGTGGTGAGCTATGATCATGCCACTGTACTCTAGCCTGGGTGACAGAGTGAGAGTCTGACTTTTTCAACTTGGCCCATCACCCTGAATGCTTGAGTATATATTTCCTACAAAAATAAAAGTTGTGATCCTACATAATCACAACAGTCATCAAAATCTGGAAATTAAGTGATTCAGATCCAGTTAAATCAGATCCAATTTAAATTTCACCAGTTGTCCCAATAATATCTTGGTATAGTGTAGGGACCAAGGGAAAACTTCCTCTTTGTGCTCTGAAGTTTTGCTGAAAGACCAACTGACAAAAGGCAGATTAATAGAAGAAATGGCATATAAATTTATTAACATGCACGGGGGTAATCACAGTGATACCTCTATTACTCAATGGAGTAGAGATAGTTATATACCCTACTTCTTGGAGGAAAGGGAGCTGGGGAAGTGTGGATGATTTTATGGGGTAATAAATGATTTTTAGAATAATTCAATTGGCTTGAAGAACATATAGTGGTCTGAGACAAAGGCTTTTGGGCCTGCAGAGCAGACAATGGTTTGTGACAAAAGTCTATTAGGTTGACAGATGGCAATCTTTCTTCCTGGGGTATGAGTTCAGTTAACAAAAACTCAGGGAAGAGATCGGGGGAATTATTTTGTTTTTTGGTAGGTCTAGATAAGGGAACTTCAGATAACACCATGATGCTTTAGGAGAAATAGTGGTGGGGAGGAGGAGCGATCAGAGAGACCTTGAGGCTTCTTCAGTTCAGCATGTCAAAGTGCTGTATTCTGGAGTATCAGTTTCTGAGCCCCAACAATAGCCAAAGGATTCAGTTCAGGATCATGCATTGCATTTTTAAAAAATTTTTTTAAATTTTTTAGAGTTGGAGTCTCACTCGGTCGCCCAGACTGGAGTGCAGTGGCCGCTCCCGGCCACCGCCGCCTCGACCTGCTGGGCTCCGGCGATCCTTCCGCCTCAGCCTTCCGAGTAGCCGGAATTACAGGCATGCACTACCATGCCCGGCTGATTTTTTGATTTATTGTAGAGATGAGGTCTCGCTGTCCAGGTGGGTCTCGAACTCGCGGGCTCAGGCAATCCACTCACCTCAGCCTCCCAAAGGCGCGGGATTACAGGCTGAGCCACCGAGCCCGGCGATGCATTGCATTTAATTGTGGTGTCTTTTTAGTCTTCTTCAATGTGGAAGTTTCTCATTCTCTCCTTGACCTCCATGAACTTGAAGCTTTGGAAGTGAATGGGCCAGTTGTATTGTAGAACTCCTCAATTCGAGTTTTTCGATATTTCCTCATGCTTAGATTCAGATTAGGCATCTTTGGCAGAAATAGCATTGAAGTCACACTGTACTCTTCTCTGTGTATCCTGTTATATGTTACATGATTTTGATTAATTTCATTATTTACTTTGATTATCTCATTATGATGGTGTCTGTCAGGCTTCTCTAGTGTAAAGTTACTCTTTTCCCTTTTGAAATTAATAAGTATTGGCGGGGAAGTATTTGGAAACTAAATATTTCTTTTTTCACCAAAATTTCCAATGTATTTGGACTCAGTTTTCTATTTTACTTAGTGGATTTACTCATTACTACAACTATTTATTTTAATCTTTAATTTATTCCCAGATTTGGCCAGTGAAAACTATCTTAAGCTGGACTCTGTGTCCCCATCATTCTTTAAGCATTTCCTTGCTTTTTGGCATCACAAGATGTCCCAGGCTTATGTAGTTTTTCTGTCCTGGTTTTATTTGTTTGATTTTTTTTGAGTTGGAGTCTCACTCTGCTGCCCAGACTGAAGTGCAATGGCTCACTCACAGCCACCACAGCCTCGATCTGCTGGGTTCAGGTGATCCTTCCACCTCAGCCTTCCAAGTAGCTGAAACTACAGGTGCACGCCATCGCGCCTGGCTAATTTTTTATTTTATTTATTTTAATTTATATTGTAAAAATGTGAGGTACAATTCAGGGTTATGTATACAAATAGTCATTGTACAGGTAAAGTTTGGGCCTCACTTTGGTCCCCACTTCACCTGGTTTGAGATCAGGTACTATTATTGATGAAGTATGCTCCCCAACCCCTAGCAGTTTCTCACTACTGCCAATTCCTTTTGTATAGTATTATGATAATTGTTCAGAGTCCTCTTATGAGTGACAACATGTGGTACTCAGTTTTTTGTTTCTGTGATAGATCACTGAGTATTTTTTCCTTTTTTTTTTTTGAGTCGGAGTCTCACTCTGTTGCCCAGGCTGGAGTACAATGGCACACTCAAGGCCATTGCAGCCTTGACCTGCTGGGCTCAGGCGATCTTTCCATCTCAGCCTTCCAAGTAGCTGGGACTTCAGGCATGCACCACCACACTCAGCTAATTTTTAAAAAAATGTATTGTAGAGATGAGGTCTTTCCAAGTTGCCCATGCTGGTCTTGAATCTGTGGGCTCAGGTAGTCCTCTCACTCTGGCCTCCCAAAGTGCTGGGATTATAGGCATGAGCCATCATGCCCAGCTTATCACTGAGTATTATAGACTCTAAGTCCCATCCAACTTGCTGTGAAGTTCATAATTTTGTCCTTCTTTATGGCTTTGTAATATTCCATCATGTATATGTACCACATTTTTTCATCCACTCCACTTTCGATGGGCATGGTTGGTTCCATGTTTTTGCTATTTGTGAGTATTTTTATTTATTTTAGAGAAGAGGTCGAGCTAGTTACCCAGGCTGGTCTTGACCCCCTGGGATCAGGCAATCCTTTCGCCTCGGTCTCCCCAAGTGCTGGGATTACAATTGTGAGCCACCACATCTGGCTCTGTCTTGGTTTTGGAATCAGCCGTTTCCCCAAAGAGCACTGGCTCCTTTTATTGGGGAATGATATTTGAAACCAAAACTTGAGTGCTAGGTATGCTTATTGCTATTGCCTCTGCTCACAGGTCTACTCAGCAGACAGCTAGGGTGTACGAGGGGGGAATAAAAAAAAAACAACTCATTTATTTATTTGAAAATTGTGTATTTATTCTTACATCTTTAATCTTCAGTCACCTTCAAAGTTCTGTCCGCTTGTTGCAATACACCTGTGGAGATGCTTTTTCCACTGCTCAAAGCCATTTTTTGAACTCATCAATTTTGATGCCTTTTAGTGCTTCTGTCATTTTCTGTTCCATCTCTTCCACATCGGCAAAACCTTTCCCTTTGAGGGACATTTTTCACCCAGGGAAACAAACAAACCAAAAAAGTCACTAGGGGCGAGATCAGGTGAATAGGAAGGGGTTGGGCACAGAGGTCTTGCTGGTTTTGGTCAAAAACTACTGAACACTCAGCATGGCGTGGGCAGGTGTGCTTGTAAATCATGAACTGGGCAAAGCGGTTGAAAGAATCTCCCCCCCCCCTAGAATTCACTGAAGCCAAACACAGCCTGAAAATTTCCATCTCAGGAAATTCATATGCAGGCAGCGTTCTTAATATTTTGTGTGTCATAGACTCCTTTGCCGCAATGGTGAAGCCTATGAACCTTTCTCAAAAAAAAGTTTTTTAAAATGTAAAAAAAAAAAAAAAAATTGTAGAATATCAAAGAAAGTCAATTGCTTTAAAATATGGTTATCAGAATGTTTAAAAAGCAAAATTTTGATATAGTAATATATATCAACATATTAAAAGATCTAGCAGTTTAATAACTAATCTAGTAGCCAGGTTAAACATATAATATTTCAGCATATCTGCAACAATCATTATTCTGTGAAAATATCTATGCATTCTACTGGTGACTTTCCAGGTGCTGTGAACAACAATGTAGTCTGTTGTTTTATTCATAATTGAAGGGAATGCGAAGTTTTAATTGGTGGTTATTAGAAATAAACATATAAATTTTTCCTCATCCAAGTTTATGTGGGAGAGTTTGTGAAAACTCCAGGTAAGAATCACTTATGTAGATAGAGGGTGTGTTGGAAGCTTCTTGACTTTATTTCTGGAGAGTACAATAGGGAGAATTACATATTTAAATCAAGACCTTTGAAAAAAGTTGGGAGAGCAAAATAGTAGTCTTTAATAATGAAGCATAATATTATGATTGAAATGTAATCTCAGAGAAACATCAATACCCATTATTTTCTGTATATTATTGTGTTGAAAAGCAAATAATTTTTAGGATATTTTATATATTTATAGGTGTGAAAGTTATTTGAAATACAGAATTTGTGTGATAATAAAGACTTTGATGATAGAAAAAAGATATAGCCAAAAAGAGATGTTTCTTTTATAAAAGGATAAAAGTTGTTGTTTCTTCTTAAATTTGTGTGCATATGCTATTTAAAAACTATTTACTTTTTATAATAATTAGGGAATCATGGAAACTGATAAAGACAACAAAAAACAAGTTTTTAAGAAGGATTCGCCAGATGAATTTATGAAAGATGAACAAAATAAGGTAAAGAGAAAAATAATTGGCTATTATTAAAATAAAGTTATACCTATTATTTTTGCAGTAAAACATGTTTTGTATGTGTTTGTCCAATATTACTTTGAATTTGGGAGACTCTTAGGCTTTTTAAAACTTTATTTTTCATTATGTTACCCAAGCCTTATAAGAAGAATCATATTTTTATTCTTTCTCTTATTAACTGCTTTCTTACTCATTTCCTCATTTCTTGAATTTGTACCTAAAAGTTAAGAGCTTAGTTAGTAATTATCTGATCAGACCCCAAGAGGGCCCAGAGGCCCAGATAGCTAAAACCACTTAAGACCATATTGTCAAGGCAGCTGTGTACTATGGGAATCACATAATTAAAAAAACAAAGCCAGGCTCGGTGGCTCAGCCTGTAATCCCGCGCCTTGGGAGGCTGAGCTGAGTGAATTGCCTGAGCCCGCGGGTTCGAGACCCGCCTGGGCGACTTCGCAAGACCTCATCTCTATAATAAATCAAAAATGAGCCGGGCATGGTAGCGTGCGCCTGTAGTTCCAGCTACTTGGAAGGCTGAGGCAGAAGGATCGCTGGAGCCCAGCAGGTCGGGGCTGCGGTGGCTGGGAGCGGCCACTGCACTCCAGTCTGGGCGACAGAGTGAGACTCCAACTCAAAAAAAAACAAAACAACAAAAACAAACAAGCCATTGCTTTGCTTTGGCCCCCTCCCCTACCTTGGAGAGGTGAATCTCCTCTCTCGTTAATCTACTTTCTAAATAAATTATATTTCCAATCTAAAAACAAAAAACCGACTGGATGCTGTGGCTCATACCTGTAATCCCAGCACTTTGGGAGACCAAGGTGAGAGGATTGTCTGAGTCCAAGGGTTTGAGACCAGCCTGGGCAACTTGGTGAGACCTTGTCTCTACAACAAATCAAGAAAAATTAACCGGGCATGGTGGCACGTGCCTATAGTTCTAGCTACTTGGAAGGTTGAGGTGGAAGGATTGCCTGAGCCCAGCAAGTCGAGGTTGCAGTGGCCATGAGTGTGTCACTGCACTCCAGCCTGGGCGACAGAGTGAGACTCTGATTAAAAAAACAAACAAACAAACAAACAAACAAACCAGCCCCAGAGTAACATGTTTACAATTACAGTAAAATTTAAAAGTTATATTGTAGTCAGAAATAGCTAGGAAGGGAGTTGATAGAGCACTGAACCAAGTACGATTCAGGAGATTTGAATCTTGATCTTTGCCTTACTATAAAAATTTCTGTGACTTTAGTCCAGTGTAAAAGATGGTTTCTTTGTTTATATAATGGAGTTTACATCATCATCTGTTAGATCAGACAGATGATGTAAAATAACCTGCAAATGCATTATTCACATAGTCATATTTATTCTAGACTGTCTAATGCCTTTCTTTATCTTGCTCAAGGTGAGATAAACTTATTTAGTTTATTTAGAAAAGTGAGTTCAGGGGATGTTTAATTTTTGGGGCACCATTTGGTGTTTTTTAGGGTTTAGTGGATGAAATTACAAAGGAAAATATCCAGTTAAAGGAGGAGATTCAAAAGCTTGAAGCCGAGTTACAAGAGGCCACCACAGGATTCCAGGTACTCTTTTAATTGTTTTATCCACATTTTTGGTGGACACACACTTTAAGGAAAAAACAATTTCATTATATAAAATTCGCTTTCAAAGCATAGTCATAGATGGCACTATCATTTATAATAGCTCAAAATGGAAAACAACCCAAGTGTCCCTCTATAGCAGAATGAATTAATACATTGGTGTATATTCACACAATAGAATACTACACAGCAATGAGATGTGGTGTGCTACACCACAACCACACTCAACAACACAAATGAATCTCATAAACGCAATGTTGATCCCCAAAAGATAAAAGGGGGCATACCAAATGCTTCCATTTAAATACAGCAAAAGCAGGATGTTTGAAGTTAGAATAGTGGGTACCCTTGGAAGCAGGTAGGACCCAGAAGGGAACCCAAAGGACTTTCTGGGGTGTTGACACGTTCTGCTTATTGTCTAGGTGCTGGTCACACATAACAGCTTAGTAAAATTTCATCTTTCTGTAACTTATAATACAAGTATGTTTCTATTACTTTAATAAAGCTTACAAAAACAAAAACAAAAATTAATAAAATTTACCAAAAAAAGATGATGATTAGGAAATCACTTTTGTATCAAATCGTTGGTTTTCTTACTGAGTTCTTTTATTATTCTCCTTATCCAAGGCGGTACTATAATTTAAATGAGTTTCACAGTTTTAAAAAATTGAACATAGACCGGGCGCAGTGGCTCAAGCCTGTAATTCCAGCACTTTGGGGGGCCGAGACAAGAAGATTTCCTGAGCCCGCGGGTTCAAGACCAGCCTGGGCAATATGATGAGACCTCGTCTCTACAATAAAATTAAAAAAAATTAGCTACCGGACGAGATAGCACGTGCCTATAATTCCAGTTAATTGGAATACTGAGCCAGAAGGATCACTGGAGTCCAGCAGGTCAAGACTGTGGTGGCCATGAGCGTGCCTCTGCACTTCAGCCTGGGTGACGGAGTGAGACTTCAACTAAAAAAAAAATTGAGCATATATTAATCCCTAAACATTCAAATTACCTTCCAGTATTTTAATTATACATAATTTTAACCCCTTTTTTTCTTTTCTATTTTTTGAGTTGGAGTCTCACCCTGTCACCCAGACTGGATTGCCGTGGCACACTCACGGCCACTACAGCCTTGACCTGCGGGGTTCGGGCGATCCTTCTGTCTCAGCCTTCCAAGTAGCTGGGACCACAAGCATGTGCCACCATGCCCAGCTAATTTTTTGATTTATTGTAGAGATGAGGTCTTGCCATGTTGCCCAGGCTGGTCTCAAACTCGTGAGTTCAGGCAATTCTTTCGCCTTAGCCTCCCAAAGTGCTGGGATTACAGGCATGAGCTACTGTGCCTGACCCTTTTTTCCTTCTTAGCAAGCTAGATTGTTAAAAAATTAAAGCATTGCCTCTTTTTGTTTCTGAAATGGGAGGTAGGATATTGAATATTAGGAAGTGAGGTTCCCTGTGTTTATGAGATGGTTGACTCTTTGCAGGAGACTCTGCAAAATGTTACTTCCCAAACTAGAGTTAGAATCATTTAGTCTTACAACTCAAAGGACCTTTAGAAACCAGCCAGCCCAGTTGGCCCACTTTACAGAGGACTGAAATTGTGATACAGAGAGCTTAAGTGAATTACTGTCTATCAGTGTCAGGAATAGAATAAGGCTTTCTCACTCTAACTGCAGAAAGCCATTGGCTTTGCAGGGTATACTGGACATTTCCACATTATCGGAAACACTCTGCCTTTTCTCAGATACTGCAGATTGTTAAGTCTGCCTTATAGTCATCAGAAATTTTACTAGGATTGCTGGGCATGGTGGTTTATGCTTGTAATCCCAGCACTTTGGGAGGCAGAGGCAAGAGGATTGTCTGAGCCCAGGGGCTCGAGACCAGCCTGGGCACCTTGGTGAGACCATGTCTCTACAATAAATCAAAATTTAGCCGAGCATCATGGCGCACGCCTGTAATTCTAGCTACTTGGAAGGCTGAGGTGAAAGGATCACCTGAGCTCAGCAGATCGAAGCTGCAGTGGTTGTGAGTGTGCCCCTGCACTCCAGCCTGGGCGACAGAGTGAGACTACAGTTCATAAAAAAATAAACAAGTAGACAGGTAAATACATTTTACTGGGGCTACATGGAAAGATAAAGGATAAATGCAGCTGGGCGCGGTGGTTTACACCATAATCCCAGCACTTTGGGAAATGGAGGTGAGAGAATTGCCTGAGCCCAGGGGTTCGAGATCAGCCCGAGCACCTTCCTTGTCTCTACAGTAAATCAAAAAATTAGCCGGGTGTGGTGGTACACGCCTGTAGTTCCAGCTACTTGGAAGGCTGAGGTGGAAGGGTCGCCTGGGCCCAGCAGGTAGAGGCTGCAGTGGCTTTGAGTGTGCCAGTGCACTCCAGCTTGGGCGACCAAGTTAGACTTCAACTCAAAAAAAAAAAAGGATAAATGCAAGATTAGATCGAATGACTCATTGAATATTTCTAATCTCTTTGTACTAAGCATCTTTTATATTGGCATGTAAAATAACCATGGGAAAATAGAAATGCAAGTATCTAATCATGTGTGCATTTATGTGTAGTTGTATAAATCTGTTAATCCCATTTTAAGCAGCTAAGTGTAACCCCTGACCTTTATCTTCCAGGTTACAATTCTTGTTGATAGCATCCCCTCACTTTTTTATAAACCTATGTTGGGAGCTGGCCATGGAGCCCCCCTGAGAGTTAGGGATCAGGAAGGGCCATTGACCCTGAGACCACTAGGATGCGTTCAGGAGCTATTGACCCCATTTCCTCCCCCTTTCTACTCAGCACTAACCAGATTAAGCTCCTGTGAGCTCAAAACATAAAAACTCTGAGACCAGAACAAACACAAGCTAACTTTAGAAGCTCATTGCTCCCATTCTTCCGCAAACTGCAGTTTTGGCTTTCACACAATTTATAATCCAAACTCATGTCACATCTAAGAGCCTTAGTATTGGTCACAGGCTTCTGAGTCATGATCTTAGGATTTATTGAAGGTGTAAATTGTAGAATATAGTTTTAGAAGACCATTTTGTTGAAAGAATGTGGCTGGGTTACTTGCAGGTAGCCCACTGTGAACTTTGGACTGGGCCACATTCTAAACATTCTGGGATGGGCCACTTTTATAAAGTAAATACTTAAGCTTCTATAGAATTGTTTAACTTGGCATAAATCAATCGGCTTAGGATGAAAAAGGTTTATAGAATATGTCAGTCACAGATTAGGTTATCCTTTGTTATGAGATTTTAAGATTATCATATGAAAAGGGTTTAAAGGCAATCATTGATTAAGTTTTCATGGATTAAGGTTTCTGGTGGGTGGGGGACGCCCCTCCCACATCTGACTTTGTGTATAAAAGACCCATTGTAATTCCCAATAACACACTGGAGTCCAGTCTCTCTCTCTCTCTCTCCTTCCCCCCCAATCGCCGATGCCGTCTCCACCTTTGAGGTACCCTGAACCCGGCTGGAGCTGGTCACCGGCAAACCTATCTGTTTAAAAGTTGATGGGCAGATGTTGAGGAAGGTGATGTTTACATTGAATAAATTTAAAATCATCTAATTCAGGAGTCTTTTTCATGAAATTATCTGGGTTTGCCATTAAAATAACCATTAGTATACTCAACTCTATACTTTATACTTCTTTGCAGTGAAATTAAACATACCATCTAATTGTTTCCTTGTGAGATCTATTATTAGTATAGCTGTTTAAAAATTACTTATCTGTATGAATGATTGTAGGCTTTAGAATTGAACATCATACAATATTGATAGTCTAAACATTGATTAGAAAAAGTGAGCAGATTATATATTTATAATTTCATCTGTGAAATTATATTAAAGGATCAACATTTGATTACACTACTGAGTACTTACATGGGAAAAAGCAATTACTAAAGATATTAAATAAGGTCACACTCAATATTCTGTAAGGTTCTTAAATCAGTGGAGAATGAATTATTGGATGACCAAATCGCGTTATCATTGGAAGGATTTAAGTTATTCTTGTCTTGACTTTAATCAAACATTTCTATTTGAATTAGATTAAAGAGGATATTCCTGAGACAAAGATGAAATTCATATCAGTTGAAACTCCTGAGAATGACAGCCAGCTTTCAAATATCTCCTGTTCATTTCAAGTGAGCTCAAAAGTTCCTTATGAGCTACAAAAAGGACAAGCACTTATCACCTTTGAAAAAGAAGAAGGTATGACTAGTTTTAAAAAAGTATGACCATGTTATTTGGAAAGCACTTGGACTTGCATATACCTTTCATAGATATCTGGCTATTACTTTAAAATCTTTACACATAACATTTTTTCTTATCCTCACAGTGATGTTCCGCAGGTATAATTATTCCCATTTACAGATGAGAAAACTGAGTCTGAAATGTTAAGTGTCTTGAATGTGATCACTCATTCAGAAAGCAATGATGCTGGGACTCAAATCCAGGTGCTGTGATGTCCAATATCAGTGTCTTTCTATTCTACATGCTACCTCCAAATAATCATAGTAATGTTTCAAGGTAGTAGAACTTTACAGTTCTCAGAGTGTTCTTACAGACATTATCTCATTTTATACTCGTACAATTCCATAAGCACAGTAAGATGGGATAGTTATGATTTTATATGTGAAATGTAGACATTTCATAGCTAAGAAAACAGATTCTGAGGATATGTAAGTGACTTACTTAATGGCATATAACCAGTGAGTGAGCTGGAGTTAGAACCTGGGAGTTAGAAATTTGGGATGAGCCGGGCTCGGTGGCTCAGCCTGTAATCCCGTGCCTTTGGGAGGCTGAGGTGAGTGGATTGCCTGAGCCCGTGGGTTAGAGACCCGCCTGGGCAACTTGGTGAGACCACATCTCTACAATAAATCAAAAATTAGCTGGGCGTGGTAACGCAACTACTTGGAAGGCTGAGGCGGAAGGATTGCCGGAGCCCAGCAAGTTGAGGCTGTGGTGGCCAGAGCAGTCTGGGCGACAGAGTGAGACTCCAATTCAAAAAAGAAAAAAAGAAATTTGGGATGAAGCTTGATGTTTGCTAAGTCTGCCACGGTCAGGGCCTCCTTTCAGAGCGAGGGGTGCCTTAATGAGGAGGATCTGGCTTTGAGTGCCACCTTTACCCCTTCCACAAAGCATGGTTTGGGATGGGTTCTTTATAAACTTCAGGTTTTTATACCAGGTGCTTTGTGGTAGTACCTACTTTATGAGGCTGCTTAAATGACTATTAGATGAGAAATGTTGAGAAAATACTTAGCACATTTAATAAATGTTATATGTTATTGTTGCTATACACTAGGAATTTTCCATATAAGGAAACAGAAGTTTAAAAAAGATAAATAACTTGAGGTACACTTAGTCAACTGCAGGACTGATAGTCAAACCCTGACCAACCCAGTCAAACCCAAGACCAACGTTCCTCTGAGCAGGCCACTAGCCTGGGCTTTCATTCTTGTATTTAAATTATGGAATGGGGCTAGATGGTCTTCATAGCCCTCTCAGTACTCAGATTCTGAGAACTTGTGATTATAACCCATGTCTCCTGACAACTGGTCCACCACTGGAGCATAATAATAAATGTTATTATGGCATTCCAGCAGGACAGTATCTGTATGTGCAAGGCATACGTTCCCAGTGTGCTATTTTTCACACTGGAGCTGCTGAGACAACTGAAGGTGGAAGAGGAGGCCGAGAGCCATGTTGCCTGTTGGCAGTAGTAGTCAGGATATCCCTGAAAGGTGCAAGTGAGGATTCAGGAGGCAATTACCTGGGAATGTTGGTAATAGGTTTCTCTTTAGAATCAGCTACGTCACTGCTGCTGCCACTGACGTGGCTGTGAGGTCCCCATCTCCTGGGACAATGTTAGGTTTAAACACAATTAAAGAGGAGTTGGCTTTTGACTGTCAGAGTCATAAAAGTTAAAACACAAAGTGATCCTCTCAGCTGCATCAGATCACCAGATGCTGGGGGCTTGCGGGAAAAGTGGGAGGGAAAGAAAGTCATCTGAGTATTACTCATTGATATTTTCTGTTGTTATTGTCTGTTGTCATTGGCAAAAAAAATCATCCAAGTTGTAGTGTCATGTTGTGATATTAGTGAGTCGAATTCCCACACGGCAATGCCCTGCCTTCTGGCCCTGTTTTTCTCTTCCTCCAGCTGTGGTGTGCTATTTGGTTGTCATGAACACATGTGAGATTTAAAAGACAGAGAGTGAACATCTCTTATCTTCATGATAAGTTAGAATAGCAGCCCCAAGCATCAAAAACTGAAGTGCTATAAGCTCACGTCACACACTTAAAAATAAATACCTACCCACATACATTCTTTTTTTTTTTTTTTTTTTGAGTCAGAGTCTCACTCTGTCGCCCAGGCTGGAGTGCAGTGTTATGGTCACAGCTACTGACCTGCTGGGCTCAGGTGATCCTTCTGCCTGAGCCTTCCAAGTAGCTGGAAGTGGCGTGCGCCACCAGCCAAGCTAATTTTTTAATTTATGGTAGAGATCAAGTCTTGCCAAGTAGCCCAAGATGGTTTTGAACCCTTGGGCTCAGGCAATCTTCTCACCTCCCTCCCAAGGTGCTGGAATTGAGGCATGAGTCACTGTGCCTGGCCCCCACCTACATTTAAAACTGCCATATGGTTGCTCTTTGGAGTTCTAACGACTTTTACCATAATTATATTATTAAAACTCCCCCATTTTGTGGAAAAATTGAACTTCACAGCATGATGATCAGTATAGCAGGACCATCAACTTTTTCTTTGTTTAAGTCTTGGCTAAAATTGATTTTATTATTGATAAGATTCTTTAAAATGAATATAGATTTATTTGCAGACTCTTATTAGTCTTTCCCTACTATTTTAGGTGTCACAATTGCCACTTTTATATTTTTCAATTTATATGATGCATGATGCCTTGGTAACTAAGCTATAATGGAAAAAATGAAAACCTAAACTAATCAGCCATCAACTTTTTATTTTTTATTTTTTGAGTTGGAATCTCACTCTGTCGCCCAGGCTGGAGTGCAGTGGCACGCATATTCACGGCCATTCCAGTGCTGATCTGCTGGGCTCCAGAGATCCATCTGCCTCAACCTTCTAAGTAGCTGGAGCTACAGGCGCACGCTACCACACCCGGCTAATTTTTTATTTTTATTGTAGAGACCAGGTCTCACCAGGTTGCCCGGGATGATCTCTATCCCGTGGGGTTTTTTAAAGAGTGATCTCGACTATTCTTCCTAGAGACCAGCCTAGGCTGCTCTGCGTATGGAATAGCCTGCTTGCTTGTAAATAAATAAATAAATAAGTAAATAAATATCTCAAGAGCATTTTTGCAAAAGTAGAATTCCTCATTTATTATGACAAAAAAAAGAGACTCACTCTTTGGTATTCCAGCCTATGTAGTCTTTAGTATGTAATCCTTGGGAAGACAGAGATAAAAATGAATATATATATGTTTCTATGGCGCTTGTAACATATTAAGTAGGAGTAGCAAATTATAAAGTTAAATAAAATTAAGATTAATTGTAAAAATGACATTTAACCACAAAAGTTTTCCCAGTTTACTCAACATGGAAAAATTACTGGCTGTGCATTCATGTACCAGGGGAATTCTCTGGGAATGTTGTCAGCTGTGGAAAGGAAGTGTGTGTGGCCGGACTGAAGTCTTATATGAATGTCAATCTTTCTGCCTCAGCCTTCCAAGTAGGCAGAACTACAGGCGCACTACCACCCCTGGCTAATTTTTGATTTATTATAGAGAGGAGGTCTCGCCAAGTTGCCCGAGCTGGTCAACCCACGGGCTCAGGCAATCTACTCATCTTGGCCTCCCAAAGTGCTGGGATTACAAACTGAGCCACAGAGTCTGGCCTAATTTTTAATTTTAAAGATGTAGGGTACAATTCAGGATTAAGTATACAAATGTTCATTATGCAGGTACCCTTGTTGATGAGGTGTGCCCTCCCCCGCAGAATCCCACTACTGCCAATCTCCACCCCCCCGAGAATTTCTACATTGTAATTTTTCCTGATGTATTTTGGCATGAATATATTCCATTTTGGTGGCAAGATCATTATCACTTGGAAATCTCCTTTGACATTTTAAAATTGGATCCTTTAATTTATTTCCTTTAATATGGAGATAAAAACTATTCAGGATAATTTGTTCTTAAACGAAAAGTATAAAAATTTCTTAAAATATGAGAAATTGACACTTCACAAATTACTTTTCAGTTGCCCAAAATGTGATAAGAGTGGGGAAACATCGTGTGCAGATAGAAGATGTAAACGTGGAGCTTTTGGCCAAGCCAGTTCCACTAAACTCTGGAGTCAGATTCCAGGTACAATGGAGATTAAAATTTTGTGGAGTTTTGTTAATCATGGGTTCTTTTGCCATCCGTATTTCTGAATATGAAACAATTTTCCAGGTTCATGTGGAAGTTTCTAAAGTAAAAATCAACGTTACTGAAATTCCTGATGAATTGCCTGAAGATCAGATGAGAGACAAGCTAGAACTAAGCTTTTGCAAGTCCCGAAACGGAGGTGGAGAGGTGGAACATGTGGCCTATAATAAGCAGTCCCGAAGTGCCGTCATCACATTTGTGGAACCTGGAGGTACTTGCCGGTTTAGAGAGTTAACAAATACTCTACCATTTCAGTTATGTTCTACCATTTCTGAAAGTATTCCTGTTCTGTTTCTTTTATTTGAAACTTACTGCCATAATAATTGGAGACTTTGAAAAACCTTATGAGGCTGTAATGTCTAGAAAATGATTTCCATGAGTTGCTGCTGAGGATGATAATATTTCCATGAGTTGCTGCTGAGGATGATAATATTATAAGTGTGTAAATTTCAGTGCATTTTTAATCATATGCCAGACATGCTGGTAGGTGTCTATATATTTATCTCTTTTGATCGTCAACACAACTCTGGAGGTAGGTGATAGACTAATTTTAATGATGAGGGAACTGATGCCTAGGGAGGATAGTAACTTGTCCAGGATCACACAGGGTGTGTGTGAAAGAACAATTAAAAAAAAAAAATATATATATATAGACTGTTCTTCTGTCTCACCGATTATTATTGACAAGAGTCTCTCAGGTGGAGGGAATTGATTTCTGGGAAGACGGTAAGTAAATGGGAGGGTACTGGAATGAACAACTAAATAGCTGAGGCTCCCTCCTCCCCCCGGTAAAAATGGACCTTTACTAAATTATTTTAGGGAGATTTATAAACTTATAGTTGAAAATAGAATATTTTGGCCTGATGTGGTGGCTCACGCTTGTAATCCCAGCACTTTGGGAGGCAGAGGCAAGAGGATTGCCTGAGCCCAGGGATTCGAGACCAGCCTGGGCAACTAGGCAAGACCTCATCTCTACAATAAATCAAGAAAAATTAGCCGGGCGTAGTAGTGAGCGCCTAGTTCCAGCTGCTTGGAAGGCTGAGGCAGAAGGATCACCTAAGCCCAGAAGGTTGAGGCAGTGGCGACCGTGGGCGTGCCACTGCACTCCAACCTGGGAGACAGAGTGAGACTCCTACTCAAAAAATAAAAATAAAAAAAAAGAAAAGAAAATAGAATATTTTATAGTTGCATTTGTTCATACATTCAAGTGATTCTCAATGCAAAAAAACTCTTGCTCAAGAAAATTGAAACAAGCCGGGCTCGGTGGCTCAGCCTGTAATCCCGCGCCTTGGGAGGCTGAGGTGAGTGGATTGTCTGAGCCCGCGGGTTCGAGACCCACCTGGGCAACTTGGCGAGACCTCGTCTCTACAATAAATCAAAAAATTAGCCGGGTGTGGCAGTGCGCGCCTGTACTTCCAGCTACTTGGAAGGCTGAGGTGGAAAGATCGCCGGAGCCCAGCAGGTCGAGGCTGCGGTGGCCGGGAGTGAGACTCCAACTCAAAAAAAAAAGAAAGAAAGAAAGAAAGAAAGAAAAAAAGAAAGAAAGAAAGAAAGAAAGAAAGAAAATTGAAACAATACAGAAGAACACAAATTTCGTAAAAACGAGGCATTTCCTCAAACTTTTCTTTCTCCTTCTGCATAGTTAGTTACGATTATTTTTTGGATATCTTTTTAGATCTTCCTTTGGACGCATTCTAACATATCAATATGTCTTTTTTACCTGGGCCTTTGGATGATGTTTAAAGCATCCTGGTGTGGCGTGTTGCAGTTAGAGCCAAACAAGGAAGAGGCCTTGAGGACTGGCTTAATATGCCTTAGAAATGGACAATAACTTGATGAAAGATTCCATAGTCAAGGATCCAGATTTTAATTTTCAAAATTCATATATTTCGCTAGTCTGTTGTTAGTTGGTCTATCTCATGTATTTTTTAAAAATTCATGAGACATTTATAAACTGGAATGCAATTTAAAACTCCACAGTGAGAGATAATATTAGCTTGGGAAGCTATGCTTTTATCCCATCTGGAGATACCAACCTGAGGCAGGTGCCATAATTATGCTCATTTTGCAGAAAAAGAAACTGAGGCTTCAAGAAGTCAAGCAACACCCAAGGTCACATAGCCAATAAGCAAAAGAGCCGAGACGGGAGTAGGTCTATTTGACTCTGGGCTGGCATGGTTTTTTTTTTTTTTACTGTGATAAAATAAACTTAACATAAAATTTACTATTTTAGCCAATTTTACGTGTAGTAGATACATTCACAATGTTGTGCAGCCATCACCACTATTCATTTCTAGAACTTTTTCATTATCCTAAACTGAAAGTTTGTACCCATTAAACAATAACTATTACTTCTTCCTCCAGTCCCTAGTAATCACCGTTCTTTCTTGTTTTTGTTTTTTGAGGTGGAGTTGCACTCCTTCGCCCAGGCTAGAGTGCAGTGACTTGCATACTCACAGCCACCCCAGTGTGAACTTCTGGGCTCCAGCGATCCTTCCGCCTCAGCCTTTCGAGTAGCCAGAACTACAGATATGTACTGCCATGCCCAGCTATTTTTTATTGTAGAGACGAGGTCTCGCCAAGTTTCCTGGGCTGGTCTTGAACCCGTGGGCTCAGGCAGTCCACTTGCCTCGGTCTCGCAAAGTGCTGGGATTACAAGCTGAACCACCAAGCCTGGCCAATAACCAGCATTCTAATTTCTGTCTCTATGAATTTGCCTATTTTAGGTACTTCATATAAGTGAAGTCATACAATATTTACTTTTTTCATATCTATCTTATTTCACTTTGCATAGTGTTTTTCTATTTTTATTTTAGATTCAGGGGGTGCATGTGCAGGTTTGTGACATGGATATATTGCATGATGGTGAAGTTTGGGCTTCTATTGAACTGGCACTCAATTAGTGATCATGGAACCCAATTGGTAGTTTTTCAACCTCCTCCTTCCCTTCTCCCTTTAGGAGTCTCCAGTGTCTGTTGTTCTCATCTTTATGTTCATGTGTACCTCGTGTTTAGCTCCCACTTAAATGTGAGAACGTGTCGTATTGGGTTTTCTGTGTCTGCATTAATTTACTTAGGATAATGGCCTCCAGCTGCATCCATGCTGCTGCAAAGGACATGATTTTGTTCTTTTTTTATGACTGCATAGTATTTATATATATATATATATATATATATATATATATGTTACATTTTCTTTTCCAATTCACCAATCATGGGCACCTAGACTGATTTTATGTCTTTGCTATTGTGAACAGTCCTGCAGTAAACATGAGTGCAGGTGTCTCTTTGGTAAAATGATTCTTTTTCCTTTGGGTGTATACCCAATATGGGGTTGCTGAGTTGAACGGCAATTCTATTTTTAGTTCTTTGAGAAATCTCCAAACTGCTTTCCACAGGGGCTGAACTAACTTACATTCCCACTAATAGTGTATGAGTGTTCCTTTTTCTTTGCAACCATGCCAACCTCTGTTGCTTTTTGACTTTCTAGTAATAACCATTCTGCCTGGTGTGAGATCTCATTGTGGTTTTGATTTACATTTCTTTGATGATTAATGATATTGAGCATTTTTATCATGTTTGTTGGCTACTTGTATATCTTCCTTTGAAGAGTGTCTATTTGTGTCCTTTGACCACTTTTAAATGGGGTTATTTGGATTTTTTCTTGTTGATTTGTTTAGTCTTATAGATTTTGGATATTAGTCCTTTGTTGGATACACAGTTTGCAAGTATTTTCTCTCATTCTGTTGGTTGTCTATTTGTTGATGGTTTCTTTTGCTGTCACTTAGCATAGTGTTTTCAAGGTTTATTCATGTTGTAGTATGTATTAGAATTCCATTTTTTTATATTGGAAAATATAGTTTATTTAGAAAGTAAATTAAAGAGAGAGAAGATGGAGAAAGAGAGAGAGATTCACTTCCCCAAGGTAGGGCAGTGGGCCAAAGCTAAGAAACATGGTGGCAGTAGCTGCCATTATTTTTTAAGAGTAAATAATATTTCATTGTGTGTGTGTGTGTGTGTGTGTGTGTGTGTGTGTGTGTGTACACATACCCATATTTTGTTTCTCCATTCATCTGTTGGTGGACATTTGGGTTGCTTCCACCTTTTGGCTATTGTGAAAAATACTGCTTTGAACACTGGTGTGCATAAACACTTGCACTTGTATATTTGTCTGTTCAAGTCCTTGCCTTCAATTTTTGGAGTATACACCAAGAAGTTGAATTGTTGGATCATATAGCAATTCTATTTTCAATATTTTGAGGAACCACCATAGTGTTTTCCACAGTAGCTGCATCATTTTAAATTCTTACCAGCAACGTCCCAAGGTACCAATTTCTCCATATTCTTGCTAACAAGGGCCTCTACTCTTAATCATTGTACCATATTGCTGATCCAAGATGGACTGGTGAGAAGAGTTTTTGTTTGTTTGTTTTTGAGTTGGAGTCTCACTCCTTTGCCCAGGTTGGAGTGCAGTGGCACGCACGCTCACGGCCACCCCAGCTTCGACCTGCTGGGCTCCAGCGATCCTTTCGCCTCAGCCTTCCAAGTAGCTGAGACTACAGGCGTGCGCTACCATGCTTGGCTATTTTTTATTTTATTGTAGAGATTAGGTGTCACCAAGTTGCCGGAGCTGGTCTCAAACCCGCGGGCTCAGACAATCCACTCACCTCGGCCTCTCAAAGTGCTGGGATTACAGGCTGAGCCACCGAGCCCGGCCGAGAAGAGTTTTTTAAAAAGTGTTTTTATATTCTCAAGAACTATTAAACTTTAAGCAATTTTTTTTTTAAAGTTGGAGTCTCATTCTGTCACCAGGCTGGAGTGCAGTGGCACACTCATGGCCATTGCAGCCTTAACCTGCTAGACTCAGGCGATCCTTCTGCCTCAGTGTCCAAGTAGCTGGAACCACAGGTGTGCCACCACACCCAGCTAATATTTTGATTTATTGTAATATTGTAATATTTAATTAATGTTGTAGAGATGAGGTCTCACCAAGTTGCCCAGGCTGGTCTCAAACCCCTAGGCTCAAGCAATCCTCTTACCTCAGCCTCCCCAAGTGCTGGGATTATAGGCACGAGCCACCGAGACCAGCAATTTTTTTTTTAATTGGAGTCACTTGGTCACCCAGGCTGGAGTGCAGTGACACACCCACGACCACTGCAGCCTTGGCCTACTTTGAGGCTACCCTTCCACCTCAGTCTTCCAAGTAGCTGGAGCTACAGGCTTATGCCACCATACTTGACTAATTTTTTGATTTCTTGTGAGACACGGTCTTGCCAGGTTGCCCAGGCTGGTCTTGAACCCCTGGACTTAGGCAGTCCTCTTGCCTCAGCCTCCCAAAATGCTGAGATTACAGGTGTTGAGCCACCACACCCAGCACTTTATGCAATCTTGACACACTACCTTTTACTACTCTAGGGGAAAAATACTGCTAAAAGATAAATCGAGGACAATTTTTTGTGTTGGAGAAGATGGATGAATTTTTATTTGCCTTCATTTTTTCTTTTTCTTTCTTTTCTTTTTTTTTTCTTTTTTGAGTTGAAGTCTCACTCTGTCGCCCAGACTGGAGTGCAGTGGCACGCTCCCAGCCACCGCAGCCTCAACCTGCTGGGCTCAGATGATCCTTCCGCCTTAGCCTTCCAAGTACCTGAAACTACAGACATGCGCTACCATGCCTGGCTAATTTTTTGATTTATTGTAGAGACGAGGTCCCACCAAGTTACCCAGGCTGGTCTCAAACCCATGGGCTCAGGCAATCCTCTCGCTTCTGCCTCCCAAAATGCTGGGATTACGTGCTTGAGCCACCGCACCTGGTCGATGTATATAGTATTCTAATGATAGGTTTCATTTATACTTTTTGAGAAACTGGGAAACGCTCTAGTATTGTTAGAATGAGTGAGTTACTTTCTACAGATGACTACTGTATTTTTTGTAGCTCAAGGATTTTGCAGCCCGTTGCACATTGATTGCAGCAAGTAATACAAGACAGGAGGAACTAGTTAAACCTTATTAATATCTGGTCTTGTAGTTTCCAAAATTATGTCTGTGAAGTTTTCAAAGTGAACTTTAGAATTTCTTAACAATTAATCTTTCAACTCAATGTTTCTTGTAATACAGTTCTGTTTGTAGGATGTTTTAACTTTGATAAATGTTTAAATGTTAAAAACAAGAAAAGCATTTTTTTTTTTGCTTTACTTTTAGTTGCTGACAAGATTTTGAAAAAGAAAGAATATCCTCTTTATATAGATCAAAGCTGCCATAGAGTCACTGTTTCTCCATACACGGAAATGCACTTGAAAAAGTATCAGGTAAAGTCATCTCTTTTCTTCTATTTTGGGAACTCGCTGCCCAATATCACCCCACAAAAAATAAAGGAAAATTTGTGAGTCTGTTACTGTATGACTCTTACCAGTAAGGGAAATCAAAATAGCTTCTTTATTTAATTTTTGCTTGATGCAAAGTGAGTTTTTCCTTTTTTCTGAGTTGGAGTCTCACTCTGTCACCCAAGCTGGAGTGCAGTGGCACGCTCACAGCCACCGCAGCCTCGACCTGTTGGGCTCAGGCAATCCTTCTGCTTCAACCTTCCAAGCAGCTAGAACTACAGGTGCATGCCACCATGCCTGGATAATTTTTTTATTTACTGTAGAGACGAGGTCTCACCAAGTTGTCCAGGCTGGTCTCGAACCCATGGACTTAGGCAATCCTCTTGCCTCTGCCTCCCAAAGTACTAAGATTACAGGTGTGAGCCATGGTGCCCAGCAAGTTTGTATTTTTTAAGAGTATTTTAGTGCAAAGCTATACCTTATTTAATTCATTATACAATTTAAAACTGAAATTACTCAGATAATACCACGATCTTTATTTTTGTATGTGGAGATATAGCTGCATTTCTCTCACGTGTCTACTGCCATTGAGCATGAGAATCATTCCTACTCATTTTCTCTGAACTCATTATCTTTAACCCAACTTGCTCCCTTTTTCTGTTCGTTCTCAGCTATCAAATGGCACCACCATGTACCTAGTCCACCAACCTAACAGTTAGAACTCATACTTCATACTTTTTTTTTTTTGAACAGCAATCTCACTCTGTTGTCCAGGCCGGAGTACAGTTGCACGATCACAGCTACCACAGCCTCAACCTGCTGGGCTCAGGCGATTCTTCTGCCTCAGCCTTCCAAGTAGCTGGAACTACAGGTGCATGCCACCACACCCAGCTAATTTTTTTTATTTATTGTAGGGACAAGGTCTCGCCAAGTTGCCCAGGCTGGTCTCCAAACTGCGGGCTCAGGCAATCCTCTCACCTCGGCCTCCCAAAGTGCTGGGATTATAGGCATGAGCTACCACGCCTGGCCTTAGAACTCATACTTAATTCTTCATTTTGCTTCACTTCCAACATTCATTTGTTCACTAAATCTTGCCAGTTCCACTTCTGACTACCTCTTTAACTGATCTACCTGTTCCGAGAGTTGTCCTTCTTTGTTTTCCACAATGCCACAAGAGTTGTCTTTCTATAACTCAGATCTGACTTTGATATTCTTTTGCTTGCAAAATCTTCCTAAGGTTTCTTGTCTCTTAAGATGAAGACTAGGCAGGGCACAGTTCATGCCTGTAATCCCTGCACTCTGGGAGGCAGAGGCTAGAGGATTGCCCGATCCCAGGCGTTCGAGACCAGTCTAGGCAACTTGGCGAAACCTCATCTCTAAAGTAAACTAAAAAATTAGCCAGGTATGGTGGCGCGCATCTGTGATTCCAGCTACTTTGAAGCCTGAGGTGGAAAGAGCACCTGAGCTCAGCAGGTCAAGGCTGCAGTGGCCAGGAGTGTACCACTGCATTCTAGCTTGGGCAACAGAGACTACGACTCAAAAAAAAAAAGTCTAAAATATTAAGCAGATGCTATGAAGGTAAAGTTTTCTAAGACATTTTTCAATGTTTGTATTTCTTTTCCTTCTTAGGTGTTTTCCGGAATATCTAACAGGACGGTCCTTCTGACTGGAATGGAAGACATTCAGGAGGATGAAGAAATGGTGGAAGATTTAATCAGCATTCACTTTCAACGGGCAAAGAATGGAGGTGGAGAAGTAGATGTGGTCAAGTGTTCCCTGGGTCAACCTCACACAGCATACTTTGAAGAATAGACTGATGCAGTCAGATGAAAATCACTGCAAATGTTTGGCCAAAGTGAATATTCTTTTCCTTAAAAAAATGAAAACTCTAATTTTTGGTGTCCATTTATGCTTAGATACAAAATATATTTCCATGTTTTTGAGTTCTTCTTTGTTTCAAACTGTGCTGCATGTTTTCAGCAACAATGTGTGCTGTATTAAAAGCAGTTTTGCAGCCGGGCTTGGTGGCTCAGCCTGTAATCCCACGCCTTGGGAGGCTGAGGTGAGTGGATTGCCTGAGCCTGCGGGTTCAAGACCCGCCTGGGCAACTTGGTGAGCCCTCATCTCTACAATAAATAAAAAAAAAAAAACACAAAAAACAGCCGGGCATGGTTGCGCATGCCTGTAATTCCGGCTATTTGGAAGGCTGAGGCAGAAGGATCGCTGGAGCCCAGCAGGTCGAGGCTGCGGTGGCCAGGAGTGGCAATTGCACTCCAGCCTGGGCGACAGAGTGAGACTCCAACTCAAAAAAAAATAAAAAAAATAAAAAATCAGCCGGGCATAGTAGTGGGCGCCTGTAGTTCCGGCTACTCGGAAGGCTGAGGCGGAAGGATTGCCGGAGCCCAGCAGGTCGAGGCTGCGGTAGCCGGGAGCAGCCACTGCACTCCAGTCTGGGCGACAGAGTGAGACTCCAACTCAAAAAAAATAAAAAAATTAAAAAAAGCAGTTTTGCTTATGGATTATGTGGATTAGCGCCATGTCTCTTGAATAAACCTTGAATGATCCAGAGTGCTGCCTCATCCTGTCATGGTCATGTAGGCCATTTCGGTTTTGTTCCCATGCCCACCAATATTCAGACTTGACACTTAACATTTTCTAAAAGAAATACAGTTAAATTCAGTAGTTTGTGATTTCTATGGACTTGATTGAAGAGTTGAGGGACTTTAAAAATGATCGCTTTCCTACTTTGCATAGCATCTCAGCCCAACTCCAGAGGCTCTCAGAACTGAATGGGGTCTTTTTCTTGTACATTCCTTCACCCAAGTGCCAAATGTCCCGGTTCCTTTCAAACCATCTTCTTTCCAAGGAGAGATAGCAAAGACTAGCACTTTCTTTTTTTTACACTTACAGTGGAAACAATTGGTATAAGAGATTGAAAACTCTGGAGTCGAGAGAGGTAGGTACAGAGTTAGTGACTGATCACTCCTTATGCTCGATGCTGGGGAAAATTTGAAGGCAAAAACATGGTACCTACCCTTTACAGGCCTAATGTTTAATTGAAGAGAGACCTAGTTTACTAGAATCCCACTGCTTTTAACTCACAGAAACTTTATCTATCTATCTATCTATCCATCCATCTATCTATCTATCTATCTATCTATCTATCTATCTATCTAGTTATTTATTTAGAGTTGGAGTCTCACTCCTTCGCCCAGGCTGGAGTGCAGTGGTATGCACGCTCATGGCCATCCCTGCTTCGATCTGCTGGGCTCCGGCAATCCTTCCATCTCAGCCTTCCAAGTCACGGGAACTACAGGCAAACGTTACCACGCCTGACTATACAGAAACTTTAATGATAAAATTAAAAGTCCTTACTCATAGAGAGTAAAATTCTTTTTGGTAAAGAACCTTTGGGGCTGGGTGCAGTGGCTCATGCCTGTAATTCCAGCATTTTGGAAGGCAGAGGTAAGAGGACTGCCTGAGTCCAGGGGTTCGAGACCAATTTGGGGAACCTGGCAAGTTCTCATCTCTACAATAAATCAAAACATCATCTGGGTGTGGTGGTGTGTGCCGGTCGTTTCAGCTACTTGGAAGGCTGAGGCAGAAGGATTACTTGAGCCCGGCAGGTCGAGACTGCGGTGGCAGTGAGCATGCCACTGCACTACAGCCTGGGCGAGAGAGTGAGACTCCGACTCAGGAAAAAAAAAAAAAAGAAACTTTAAACAGTTTTTATTTTGACACTACATTTCACAAAGAGCCAGTAGCAGAATTCATTTCATATAATAATGCTGGCAGAAACGAAATGGTTTTAGGAAAAGGATCCAAGCCTAAATCTAACCCATGCTGCCTGCCATCTGAAACAAACAAAAGAAAAAGCCTGGGTCTTGCTTCTAACACTTTATTTTTAGGTTTTGAAGTTATGTTACTACCAGAAGTACGCATTATTTTCACATTTCTTTAAAGAATGAGAGATGGTGCCTAAAAATTGTATAATTGATGATAAATCTTCATATTTACCATTTAAAAATCTCTCATGACTATTATTCTTTGGAAATGGTATGACTATTTAAAATTCTTCAAAATATTAAGAAGAAAACTTTAAAGTATCTTTTGAATTTCCATTGTGCTAGTCTCGCTGGCACAAAGGGTATTGTTGATATTCTGTAGCAGATTGCCCATTAGGAATAATTTTTAAGAATATTTAGGACAAAGTTTGAAACAGTCATTTTTTTCTTTTGGAAGTCTTCTTCAGGCAGTAATATTAATAATTCTATCCAATTATAAAATTTCATAATTTTAAAAAATAATTATAACCTGTCAGAAAATTATACTTTTCCTTTGCATTCTTTTTACCACCACCTAAGTGCATCTGGCTGGATATCAGAAATCAAGCATGGGTTCGCCTGCTCATTCTTAGGGTTTTAGAAATTTTACAGATGAGTCACTAACTCTGTATTTACCTGTTTTATTCCAAGGTTTTCAATCTCTTATACCAATTGTTTCCATTGTAAGTGTAAAAGAAAGAACGTGCTGACCTTTATAATTGCTACTTGGAGAAGGGATGGCTTAGAAGGGAAACTGTCTTTGAAAACTTACCAAAAGTACTGTATTGACTATACACATATTGAATATTGTTATACGAAAAGCAAGAAATCAAGGGAATAGAGGAAGTCCAGAAATATGGACTTTCAACTTGTAGGGTTGGAAGAAACAGCATTTTTTGTTCTCAAATCATAAAAGATAAAACTAAGAAGCCCATCGAATAGCAAAGATGGATTAGAACTCTGCTTTTTGACAAGGATGTATGTATGTTAAAGATGAGATGGGGGATACAGCATCAGTAAGTGTACCTGATCTCAAACCAGGCCAAGTGGGGACCAAAGGGAGGCCCAAACTTTGCCAGTATGATGCCCACTGTATACCTATTCCTGAATTGTACACCACATCTTTAAAAGTAAATTAAGTTAAATTAAAAAATAAAGGTGAGATAGCTCCAGACATTCCCAATTCAAGATGGATAGGTAAGTGGAATCACAGGTTCCTCTTGCTGTTTGTTGATATGCCAGTCAGGACAGGTTAGGCAATGTCATGGTAAAAAAATAGCCTGCCAAATAAATTAAAAGCTTAATTCTTAGCCATACTGATTATCCAGCAAAGACTGGTAGAAGGACTCTGGCTATTCTCATCACTTAAAGTCCCCATCCTGAGACAAGAATCATAGAAGTGTGGGAAAACGTGAAATCTGGAGAGTCTTCTAGCTGCAATTAAACGCTGTGACCCTTATTTCCTTTTACATCTCATTGGTCAGAAATAGTCACATGGCCCCATTCAAATATAAGGGGATTCAGAAGGGATTGGCAGTAGTGGGAAACTGCCAGGGGGGGTGGGGGTGGGATTGGCAGTAGTGGGAAACTCCTGGGAGGGGGCACACCTCATCAACAAGGCTACCTACATAATAAACATTTGTATACCTAATCCTGCATTGTACCCCCACATCTTTAAAATAAATTCAAACAAATAGCAAAAGCAAATATAAGGAGACTAGAAAATTCTGTCTTGTAAAAAGTTAGACAGACTAGTATGACGGAGCCAGAATAATAAACAGGATTGTCTATCCTGTCCTACTGGCCACCAATATTTAGTTCATTCTTCTTCACACATGAAATACACTCATACTCACCTCCTCCTCAAGGGAAGAAAACAAAGAATTTCATCCAATCATAGTATCAAATTCAAAATGCACGAACTCTAAGTGACATGTGATAGTTTCTATATCAGATCTGAATGTTACTCTCTTGATCCAGAGACCTCTACACACCCAATATATAGTGGTAGAACTGGAATAAGATAAGTGCAATAAATTCTTACACTTCAAAAGGGAAAGGAGACACGTAGTAGTTACTGGGCCACAGCAATTCTGAAATCCCATTGAGTAGATGTGTGTTCCATACCCCTAGAGTGTGGAATTTGGATTAGACCCTGATTCCAATCACAAGAAATTCTTCTCTTGCTCATTGTCTTCATGGCTTCTGAACATTCTGAACATTCTTCTTTTTGACCATATGTAGAATGGAATCTATGGTTCCTTTCTAGGCTTGCTTTTCAGAATTGCTATAATCGTCTGCTTTATTTATTTATTTATTTTTTGAGTTGGAGTCTCACTCTGTCACCCAGACTGGAGTGCAGTGGCTGCTCCTGGCCACCACAGCCTCCACCTGCTGGGCTCCGGCGATCCTTCCGCCTCAGCCTTCCGAGTAGCTGGAACTACAGATGCGTGCTACCACGCCTGGCTAATTTTGATTTATTGTAGAGATGAGGTCTCGCCAAGTTGACCAGGCGGGTCTCGAACCCGCGGGCTCAGGCTATCCACTCACCTCAACCTCCCAAAGGCGCCGAGGCGCTGAGCCACTGAGCCCGGCTATTCGTCTGCCTTCTTAGTCACTTTATTCTATCCCTCTCTTCACTCAAAGTATTCAAAGAGGGTATTTGAGTCCATCTGGCCATACTCTTAGTTTCTTTTCCTCAATCCATTTTGTCCAGCTCAGAGATTTTATTGAATTCTACAACCTTAATAGGGTTTCTGCTCTGAGGGGCTTAATCTATTCAGAGACTTAAACCTTGATTTGGTCACTGATTTGTCATAAAGCAGAGTTCTAATCAGTCTTTGTTATTCGATGGGCTTCTCATTTTTATCTTTCATGATTTGGGAACAAAAAAAATGTTTCTTCTAACCCTACAGGTTGGAAGTCCATATTTCTGAACTTTCTCTATTCCCTTGATTTCTACCTTTCAAACTGACCAATTATTTTCTAAGTTCATTTCCTTCTTATATGACTTTGTTACATGCACCCACTAATAATAGACATATGTTACTAATTTTTTATTTCCTACATTTCTAAAAATGAAACTACAAGCTAATTAGGTACATCATCTGTCTTCTAAGCTATCACATGACAGTTTTTACTAAGTGCTTTCCTACTACATAATATGAATCACCAACTCTTTAATCTCTGATAACTATTTTCTTATTACCTGCCACTTGGTCGCTAAACCAAGGCCATGTATTCTGGGTAGTGTTGTGGATTGTCTTTTTTTCTTCTACTTCACTTCTAAATACCAATGTCTGTATCAGTCAGAGCAGGCTATGTGATACTAATGTGACAAACTATCTCTAAATTTCAGATATCTAAAGCAGCATTTATTCTTTGCTCATGTTAGAAGTCCACAGTGGTTCAAAAAAAGCTCGGTTCATAGTAAACACTTAGAGACTCAGGCTCACAGCAGCCACCATCTTTAATATTGTTGGATGCCACTCCAGAGAAAGAAAAGTACTATGAAGGGTCTTTAACTGGCAATTATTTTTTTAGTTCAAAAATGATACTTGCCACTTCCACCCACAACTCAAAACTAAGCATATGGTCCTACCCAACCATAAAGGAGCCTGAATGTTCACTACTACCGTATGCTAGGAAGGCGAAAGCCAGAGCTGGATATGGAATAGCAGTAACTATATCTGTTGGTATTTAAAAAAGAAAAGATGCTCATTCCTGAAAAATACACATAGTATAATGAAGACACTACAGATCACAAAAAATCTATCCCCAGAGATAATGGTAAACATTTTTATGTCCTTTCCATTCTTTTCAGTAGGATTACACTTTCTCAGTCTGTAATCCCAGCACTTTGGGAGGTCGAGATGAGAGGATTGCCTGAGCCTGGGGATTTGAGACCAGCCTGGGCAACTTGGTGAGACCTCATCTGTACAAAAACTAGCCCGGCTGGTGGCGTGCATCTGTAGTTCCAGCTAATTGGAAGGTTGAGACTGAAGGATCACCTAAGCCCAGCAGGTCGAGGCCGCGGTGACCGTGAGCGTGCCACTGCACTCCAGCCTGGGCAACAAACAAACAAAAAAAAGGATTACACTTTCATTACACCTAAGGCTTTCTGCAACTGCAAGGTGAAGGTCATGATGGAAAGCACAGCCTACCAACATCCAGAGAGCCGCCACCACCTTCTATACATGTGATCTTTTTTGCGTTTTTTCTTCCCTTTTCTTAATTCACTCTGCTGTTGTTGCTGCTGCTTAGCAAAACTGGTGAGAACAAAATTGTATTCATCGATGCATCACCCAGAGAATCCCCCAATTCCTGCCAGGGAACCCTCCTGGCCTTTCTCCAGCCGGCTTTCAAAAATTGCAAAACCACCGGGCATCTGGGAGGCCGGGTTCCCCACCGAGAGGCCGGAGGCCGCAGAGCAGCCGGGTGGGCCGGAAGGGCCGCCCCCTGGTCCTACGATGTCCCAGGGAGCGGGAACAAAAAACCGAAACCGAAACCAGCCGGCTCGGTCCCCTCCCCGGGCTTGAGCTTCCGCCGGCCGCCGAGCGCGCGTCTCGCCTCCGCCAGGGCAGGTCGCTTTCGCTTCGGGTTTTGCGGTGCGGGTGCACGCCCGTGCCGCCGCCACGGTGCCTTGGCAGGGCGTGGGACGTGGCGGGATGCGGCACTGGGCGGGGCGGCGAGCGGAGGGGTCCCGGGATCCCGGGATCCCGGGGGGCCAGCCTGGGTCTGACTCTCTGCACCCGCCCCAGGGGCGACGCCGCGAGCCCCTGAGGTTCACATGCGGCCTGCGAGGGGGGCCCAGCTCCGAAGGCACCGGATGCAAGCTGCCACCTCCAGCACCCATGGCCTAGGCGTCAGGGAGGGACACCAGCGTGTCTAGGGCTGACCCTGTCCTCCCACTCCATGGAGGAACAAAAGCCAGAAATGGAGGCCACAGCTTCCTTTTTGAAAAGGGCTAGTAAGAACGGATTCCAGCCAGGGACGCAAGTCAGGAAGGCCTCTTGATGTCTTGGCTGCCTTCGTGTGAATTCTTCGCCTTTGCGGTCTTAGTTCTTTCTCCAGAGACACAAAGGGCTCTGTGTTTTCACCATCTGCGCTGGCTAGAAAGAACAGTTCGCAAATTCAAGATTTAGTTTGCTGGTTTTGTTTTGTTTGTCTCCATCCAATGCTTGGAAGCCTCGATGGGGCCCTTCATTCCTGGTCAGAAATGCTAGAGTCTCGAAATGCAGAAGCCAATTGTGACATTCTAGTGCGCTTTTTTGTTGACCTGGAGGCCTGTAAAGGCAGCCGCAATAAATAAGCAACTGATTTTGAGAAAAGAAATTTAAACAAATGCAGTATATGAATCTTTTGATTATTTCTCAGTAGTGCCTTACTTACAAAAATAAACAGTTTTTCTTTATACCTTTTTGCTTTCTGGTAGGATGGCCAAAAGTCTCTGAACAAACATAGGCCGGATGTGGTAACTGACTCCTGTAATCCCAGCACTCTGAGAGACGGAGATGAGAGGATTGTCTGAGCTCAGGGATTCGAGACCAGCCTGAGCAACATGGTGAGACCTTGTCTATACAATAAATTAGCCAGTGTGGTGGTGCACACCTGTAGTGCCAGCTACTTGGAAGGCTGAGGCAGAAGGATCACCTGAGCCCAGCAGGTCGAGGATACAGTGTCCGTGAACATGCCCCTGCACTCCAGCCTGGGCGACAGAGTAAGACTCTGACACAAAAAATAAAATAAAAACACATTACTTCAGGGAAAAGTGCCTGCACCTTAATATCTCTTGGGTAAAATTCTACTCTTGTTTCAAAATCCTTGAAAGGACTATCTTTCCCTAGGACATTTCTTTTTCTTCTTAATCATGGATAGACAAGATTAATAATTCTTTGTTCATAATTGACCTAAGTAAAATTATCTATGTTAGTTATACTTGTCAACCTTCCAAAGTAAGTTAAGGAAGAATAATGACAGATCATTGAAATACTTATTCATTAGATGATTCACAAAAATTGGTTCTTATAAAACAAGATCACACCTTTATGTTTCTGTTTTTGTTTCCTAAATATACTGACTCAGGGAGAAGTTCCTTTGATTTTAAAGATAAATCATATTCAGACACTCAAAGAAAATGGTATTGGTACTAATGAGGGCATAGAGGTGGAATAAGATTTTCTGAATTTAGCCGGGCGCAGTGGCTCACGACTGTAATCCCAGCACTTTGGGAGGCAGAGGCTAGAGGATTGCCTGAGTACAGGGGTTCAAGACCAGCCTGGGCAACTTGGTGAGACCTCATGTCTACAATAAGTCAAAAAATTAGCCAGGCATGGTGGCATGCGTCTGTATTTCCAACTACTTGGAAGGTTGAGACAGAAGGATCGCTTGAGCCCAGCAAGTCAAGGCTGCAGTGGCTGTGAGTGTGCCATTGCACTCCAGCCTGGGCAACAGAGTGAGACTCCGATTTAAAAAAAAAAAAGATTTTTCTGAATTTAAATTGATTGAAATTTTTTCTTCGATGTTGTTGGGGGGCAGGAAACGATTTCCTGAGAGAAATATAAACAAATACAATTTTCTTCCTATTGCCTTACCTACAAGAAGAAACAATTTTTCTTTACACCTTTTTGCTTTCTGATATGATGGCTCTGCTTTTATTCTAACATTGACAGGGTTGAGCATTTCCATTTTATTCTTCAGTATTTTGAAGACTTAGCACGTTTAGTGTAAAAATAAAAGCCATTAATGATGTTTTCATTATGATGTAAACAGCAAATCCTGTTTATAGTAGGGCTTAATGGTGCACTGTGAATACTTTTCTCCCTTGGCCCAACGTTATGTGTATTTTTCCTTTTCCACTTATAGGAATGTATTCCCAACAGGTAGATCAAATGAATTTTCTTTCTTTCTTGTATTCCATCATTTTCTCAAAATCATGCCACCACTTTGGTTTACTTATGACGTTTAGGCTGGGACGCCCTCAAATGCTAGGAAGTTGGGGGAACCTGCCCTGGGGTACTTATGTTAGTAGGCCAGGTTCTCCTGAGAGTATTCATTCAGGCTTTTTCTTTTCTTTTTTCTCACTCTTGGCGCCCAGGCTGGAGTGCTGTGGCACACTCACCGCCACTGTAGCCTTCGACTCAGCCTTCCAAGTAGCTGGAACTATAGACGCACGCCATCACATCCAGCTAGTTTTTGTGATTTGTTGTAGAGACGAGTTCTCACCAAGTTGCCTGGGCTGGTTTTGAACCTGCGGGCTCAGGCAATCCTCTTGCTTCGGCCTCCCAAAGTGCTGGGATTACAAACTGAGCCACTGTGCCCAGCTGACATTTTCTTTCTTTTTTTTGAGTTGGACTCTCACTCTGTTGTCCAGACTGGAGTGCAGTGGCACACTCCCGGCCACCACAGCCTTGACCTGCTGGGCTCCAGCGATCCTTTCGCCTCAACCTTCCAAGTAGCTGGAACTACAGGCGCGCGCTACCATGCCTGGCTAGTTTTTGATTTATTGTAGAGATGAGGGCTCGCCAAGTTGCCAAAGCGGGTCTCGAACCCACAGGCTCAGGCAATTCAGTCACCTCCGTCTCCCAAAGTGCGGGATTACAGGCTGAGCCACCGAGCCAGGCCTTTCTTTTTTTTTAAGTGAAATGATCCTCCAGTTTTTTTTCTTGAGGTTCGGGCTCAGCTGCCTTCATTGCAGTGTGTTATGTGTGTGCTTGTATATGTAAGTATTGAGGAAAACAAATGTGAGGAGACAACTGGAACAGTTTTACCAGTAAGCTTTCAGCCAACCCTTGGTTTTGATTTCTTCCCTCTCCCCCTCATTTCTGAGGTTCTGCTATGCAGGTGGTCACCTTTCCATTGCAATCCCTTTTGCTCACTCTGGGTTAGCTCCTTCCTTCTGTCTTATCCTTCTGTATACTTCTAGTAGTTTGTGTTCCAGGTATGTGTTGAAATCTCCGTGCTGATTGTTCCCCTTGACTGGGTTTTTTAACTTATTTTTTACATGCTTTTACTTTCATTTTAAGGGATTTAAATGATGGACAGGACCATGTGTGTCCGTCTATGTGCTTAGACTGTCTTCTCTTCCCTTCCCTTCCTTCCTTCCTTCCCTCTCTGTTACCAGGGTTGGAGTGCTGTGGCACCGTCACGGCTCATGGTAGCCTCAACCTTCTGGGTTCAGGCGATCCATCTTCTGTCTCAGCCTCCCAAGTAACTGAAATGACAGGTGTGCACATCACACCTGGCTAAGTTTTTAAATTTTTGTAGTGATGATGTCTCACTATGTTGTCCAGGATGGTCTCAAATTCCTAGGCTCAAACAGTCCTTCTGCCTTGACTTCCTAAAATGTTGGGATTAAAGGGGTGAGCCAATGTGCCCAGCCTAAACTTTTCTTGATTTGGGAGGTCAGAAGTAGTTTGCCCATGTCCAGTGAACTCCTGCTATGAGTATAGAGGCTTCTGGACTGAGATCCCAAATTACGTTTTGATCTGTTAACCATTACTCTGGTCCATGAGCCATCCTGTCCACCCTGGGGGAATTTAGTCCAGATCTTGTTTGAGCTTTAGTATAATCAGGCTGAGCTAAGAATTGGGAAAAACTTAAAGGTCCACTTCCCTAAATGGAGTTGGGGGACAAATTAAAACATTTAGGTAGAAGTTTCTTAACTGGATAATACAAGGAGTTTAAAGAGAGTGAGTGAGCCCAAAGAAGAATCTATTCACAGTTGGTACTCTGTGCCCAGCATAGTGGCAGGGCCTGCAATAGCATGTATTTTCTGTGGTTGAATTTCATCTGATATATGCTGGAAGACAGGTTTTACTCCACTTCAGTCCTCATGTTTTTACCTGGGTTTTATTTTTTTATGGTGACTTTACCCTGATTCTGACAATAAAGGTTGGGAATGTGTTTCTTATTGGCTCATGTACCTTGGACTCTACAATCAAGGAAACATACAGCCACCTTCAAACTACCAAAATTAAGGTTATATCTGTGCGTGTGTGTGTTTGTGTGTGTATATAACTTGTTTCGTGTGTGTATATAACTTGTTTCCTAAAGTCAGAGAAGTATTAACCAATATTTTACATTTAAAAAAAATAAAGGGTTCACTTTTTGCAATAAATTCTCAAATTTATACGGAGTTCTTGTTGGTATATGGTTTGGGACATGGATCTAATCCCCTCCATGCTCCCCTTTTAAGGTATCTAATCTACTGCACTAGCATCTTTATTGAATAAGATATTCTAATCCCCCTGGGGTGTAATGTTACCTCTATTAAGTAGAGTTTTATGTTTTTAAAGAGTATTCTGCTGTTTCTCTTTCAGGCATCGGTTTTGGATGTCAAGGAATATAAAACTTCTGAAAGAACAGTTGTAGTTGCTGGTCTTCCAGTTGGCCTTTTTAGTGATCAGTTATTGGCCAAATTAGTGAGGAGTCACTTTCAAGATATTAAGAGTGGGGGTGGAGATGTTGAAGATGTGATATATCCGACAAGAACCATGGGAGTTGCATATGTAATATTCAAAGAAATAAAAGGTATTTCCAAATCTAATTTCTATAATCTTAGAAATAATTCTTCAATGACATTTAAAAATTGGATTTCATTAAAATGATTCATGGGATTGGTACATTTTAAAGTAGCTTTTAAAAAATATTATTTTATCCTGAATATAAAAGTGGCACAGTATTGCATCAGTATCTACTTTATTACTGGTAAAGTTGAATTGAGAAATGTGGCTTGGATCTGAGATTAGATTGAACCATTCTGTTCCCTGCCCTCCATCCCTGGCACAGGCAAGGAATTTGGGTCTGCAAACACACCCCTCCAGCCTCAGGAAAGCTTAGTGGCTGGCAGAATACATTGCCAGAGAAAGGCGAGTGTCCATGCCAACCTTTTGGAGGTGAAAGTACCACAAGGGAGTAGGAGCAAAGGAAGAGACCTTGCTCATTCATTTATTCACAAATATTTATTGAGTACTTGTTATTTGCCAGGCAACATTCTAGGCCTTGAGGTTACAGCAATGAATGAAATAGGCAAAGTCTTTTCATTCATGAAACATACATCTGTAGGGATGAGCAGGTTAGAAACAAATTCATGAATATATAATGTGTTGGGTGCTTTATTTATAAGTTACTTATATTTATACTTATGGTTATATACGTTAATACATAGGTGCTATGAAAGGATATAAAGAAGAATAAAGAGATAGAAAGTGATGGAGAGTGCTGTTTTAGATGGATAGGAAAGGAAATTCTCTGTTTAGAAGACATTTGGGCAGAGACCTGAATGAAATGAGGGAATGATTCATGCAGATAAGGGGAAAGAACATTCTAGGCCAAGGGAAGGACTGTTAATTCTGGTTGAGATAGAGGGTTTCTAGCAGAGGTTTACAAGATTGAACCATCTTTTCTTAAATAACCCAGCTAGCAGCTGTGTGGAGAATAGGAGCTACTACTCATTATTGGCTTTGATAGGGCGGTAGCAGGGCTGGTAATGAGAACTGGTGGGTGTTCAGGATTTGTTGGTGGATTAGATGTCATTTTCTGAGATGGATAAGACTAGGGATAGAGTATGTTTGGGAGAGGGATAGTCATTGAGAGCTGAGTTTTGAGACAGGATGTGGTGACACACACCTGTAATCCCAGCACTTTGGGAGGCCAAGGTGGGAGGATCACTTGAGTCTAGGAGTTTGAGACCAGCCTAGTGAGACCTTATCTCTACAAAAAAATCAAAAAATGTAGGCAGGCATGGTGGTACATGCCTAGAGTCCCAGCTACTCAGAAGGCTGAGGCAGAAAGATCGCTTGAGCCCAGGAGGCTGAGGCTGCAGTAACCCAAGAGCGTGTCACTGCACTTTAACCTGGACAACCAGAGTGAGACTCCAACTCAAAAAAAAAAAGTTGAGTTTTGATCAATGAGATGCCTATTAGGATAATGAAGTGAGATTTCTACAGGCAGAAGGGAGAAAGTTTGAAGCTAAAGACAGAATTTTGAAAGCAACACACCTAGAGATGGCATCTAAAGTCTTGGAGATTGTTGAGATCACCCAGGGGATGGGCATAGGTTAGCAGAGAAGTATGAGCCCTGAGATCTGGGGCTTGCTAACACCTAGAGAATGGAAAGAGGAGGATTAGAAAGGAGACTGAGCAGATCAACCGGGACAGCGTGGGTTGTCCCTGTGTTTACCCTGTGGTTTTTTTTTTTTTCTGAATTGGAGTCTCACTGTCGCCCAGACTGGAGTGCAGCGGCCGCTCCCGGCCACCGCAGCCTCGCCTGCTGGGCTCCGGCCATCCTTCCGCCTCAGCCTTCCGAGTAGCTGGAACTACAGGCGCGCGCTACCACACCCGGCTGATTTTTTGATTTATTGTAGAGATGAGGTCTCGCTGCCCAGGTGGGTCTCGAATCCTCGGGCTCAGACAATTCACTCACCTCAGCCTCCCACAGGCGCGGGATTACAGGCTGAGCCACCGAGCCCGGTTTACCTTGTGTATTTTTAAAAATGTGATTTGGATCACATTTACACATAAGATGAATTTTAATATGTTAAAGTACAAGAAATAAGCTTGATTGCTGAATTTAGGGGAATAATGAAGACAAAGTCTTAGCCATTCTAAAAAATCGAATTGAATATCTTTATTATTATTGTTTGTTAAAATAATTATTAGTGTGTTGCATGACAAACACTTCTGATGTCAGTGTTTTCACTTAGTTGCAAAGAATGTCATCAGACAAAAGAAACTCCAGCTAGCAAAGAAGGTTGGATATGCTCAACTCACAGTCTCTTGTTTTAGTGAAAAGGTAAGGAGTGGTGCTCAAGGTGTGGTGTAGTCTTGCATCTCATTTCCTTTTTGAAGCCTTTTCCTATGTCAGGAGACACAAAGTGCTCTCACCCCATGAATTCTAGAAAAGAGCACGGAAACTCCCTAACCTGAGTCGTGTTAAAGATCAGACCTGTCTCTTGAAATGTGAATTATTGCCTCATCTGTTTTTATCTTTCTGTGTGCTCCACTCAATGCATTTAAAGTGACAGTAAGCTTTTATGTTGTCATGGATGATATCAGGTACTAAAGACTTATTTTGGGAAAAAATTAGAATAAACATTTAAAAAGGAGCTGTGAAGAGACAGGAAAAGTGGGGATAAAAGAGAGAAGTGAAAATTCAAAGGGCTAGTTTACAAACTTCATTCTGTGTAAGGAACTCAGCATTGTTCATCTGATGAAATTTAAACTGGGTATGGGGATATCATTAGGGGACCCTATAAGATAGAAGAACCAAGCTGGGCTCGGTGGCTCAGCCTGTAATCCCGCGCCTTTGGGAGGCTGAGGTGAGTGGATTGCCTGAGCCCGCGGGTTCGAGACCCGCCTTGGCAGCGAGACCTCATCTTTACAATAAATCAAAAAAATCAGCCGGGCGTGGTAGTGCATGCCTGTAATTCCGGCTACCTGGAAGGCTGAGGCGGAAGGATCGCCGGAGCCCAGCAGGTCGAGGCTGTGGTGGCCGGAAGCGGCCACTGCACTCCAGTCTGGGCGACAGAGTGAGACTCTAACTCAAAAAAAAAAAAAAAGATAAAAGAACCAGAATGGTTTATATCTATGGGTTCTGCATACGATTTCGTTTCAAAAAAGCATTGTCTCTAAAAATTATTTGACTGCTTCTGTGTTGGGCTACGTGGGGAGAAATTGTGAATCCCAAGTAGAATAACGTGAGATCCCTTTGCTGGGCTTCTTTGGTACAAGAAACAAATCTAGGCCAGACAATTGGCGCCTGGTTTAAGGTAACTGCTGTGGAGCTAAGAACACGACAGAAAAAGAGAAATATGAGATTACAGAGCAGCGCAAGATTGATCAGAAAGCTGTGGACTCGCAAATCTTACCAAAAATCAAAGCTATTCCTCAGCGCCAGGGCTACCTGCAATCTGTGCTTGCCCTGACAAATGGTGTTTATCCTCACAAATTAGTGTTCGAAATTTCTTTGCAAGAAGAACCTAATTAAAGAACTGATCATGTTTTTTTTAAAAAAGGAACATGGCAGAAAAGAACATGCTTGTGTAATGTGTTCCCCTAGGCAGTGCTGCTTTAATTACTTTCTTTTAATTTTAGGTCTTCAGCTGTGTAAAAGCTTTCCTTGATCTTTCTGTTTTTCGGAGTCAAGTTACTCTAGAAAGTCTGGTCATGGACCTGAAAAAGAAAATCCCAACTTTAAGCTTCAGTCCTTTGGAACCCAATGGAAGAATCTCTGTGGAAGGATCGTTTCTGGCTATCAAGAGCCTCAAAGAATCTTTGCTATTAAGAGCAAGTTCTCTCTTAGGACAAAACAGAACTTTTACCAGTGAGGAGAGAAAGTGGAATAGACAAAGCCAGAAAAGGAATCTACAGGGAAGTCACAGCTCTTCAGAGTCGCTCAGGACCTTAGAACCTGAGACTGCTAGAAGGGCAGAAATGCTTATGCTCGACACAGATGTTTTTCTTTACCTGAAACAAAAGTGTCAGTTTTATGAACGCACACTGAACAAGTACCATGTTCTATGTCAGGAGAGAGTGGATGGTGAAATCACCACAATTTGTCTAAAAAATGCTCAAACTGGTTTTCAGCCAAACAATGTAAAACACGTAAAAGAGCTCATTGAGAAAAAGTTACAGACTCTTTACTTAGAGTTTAGAAAAGAGACGTTTATTTTGGAAGGGAAGGAAAAGAGAGAGAAAGGCAATATTAAATGGGCATGTAAAGTATTAGGTTCGAGATACCCTGGGGTCTTGATTAACTTGTATAGGACACACATTGACATTATAGGATCTTCCTCTGACACCTACCTATTTAAAAAAGAGGTCATGAAATTAATAAGGCAAAAGGTTAGTTAATAAATCTCAGCAATAGTAGTGGTATTGGTGATAATGTCTGCTTTCCTCTGCTTTATTATTTTTCCATTGCTGAGCACCAGCTATGCTGTGAATGAGGCTAGTTTTCGCACCTTCTCTCGTTTAATCCTTATGACCATCCTTGTCTTAAGTGTTACTATCCTCATGCTATCAGGGGAGAAACTAGGATTTGCGTTTGGAGAAGTTGAAACACTGTTCCGAAGTTATCTAGTTGATAAGGAATGAGACTAGGGCTTAGACCAGTCTATCCAAATACAGAAATAATATCTAAGGAATAAAACTTTGAAAAACAAACTCATCAAACTTTTAAGAAATATTATTTTCTCAGTAACTCCAAATTATTAGAAAAAGAAGTAGTCTTAGCATATGAGAAGTTTGAATGACTATTGTTATGCTATTGGAAATTTCTTAACATTTACGAAGCTTATGTTTACTCCATACAGAATTAGAGTGCTGGCAAAATTTACTTGGGAAACTACTTAGATAGAAAGTTTTCTGAGCAGGGCTCGGTGGCTCAGCCTGTAATCTCACGCCTTTGGGAGGCTGAGGTGAGTGGATTGTCTGAGCCCGCGGGTTCGAGACCTGTCTGGGCAACTTGGCGAGACCTCATCTCTACAATAAATCAAAAATCAGCCGGGCGTGGTAGCGCGCGCCTGTAGTTCCAGCTACGTGGAAGGCTGAGGCGGAGGGATCGCTGGAGCCCAGCAGGTCGAGGCTGTGGTGGCTGTGAGCATGACACTGCACTCCAGCCTGGGTGACAGAGTGAGGCTCCAACTCAAAAAAAAAGAAGGAAAAAAAAAGAAAGCTTTTCTGATGCAGGTAATCATTACTTGACTAAATTCTCTTGCTTCAAGGCTGTTGGGCATGGGGGACATTACTGCTACTAATTTAGCCTGAGTTCCTACATAAAATGTTAATTCTTTTATTATAATCGCCAAATATGAATTGAGTCATTTGTGTCACACCCAACTAAAACAGAATCAATAAATTGGGAGGAAAAATTTCTTGAGGCACATAACATTGCTTGAAGAATATAATCATCTGTGAGCCTGTTTATCGAAACTGCTTGCTGTAACCTGAAACCAGTTTTATCTATAGCTGCTGAGATAACCTCTGCAATTCTAGACTAATTTTGTCCACCACCATCACCCACCAATCAGAGCTTGCCAGGTTGTCAAAGCTTTACTGGTACCAATAAACTTTCTTTTAGGACCACATGTTACATTCCTCTTTTTTATAAAATCTCCAACTGTCTCTTTGTTCTTCAGACATACCAGAGACTACCCAGAATTGCAGTTCTTTTTCCCCTACACACCTGGCATGTTTTGATCTATTGTAGAGATGAGGTCTCACCAAGTTTCCTAGGCTGGTCTCAAACCCCTGGGCTCAGGCAGTCCTCTTGCCATGGCCTGCCAAAGTGCTGGGATTACAGGCATGAGCCACCATGCCCAGCCTGTTCTTTATTTTCTGTCTGGACTTAATTTGGCCTTTGTGTATTCCATGATTGCGTTTAATTGATTTTTATATAGTTGGCATTAAATCACAGCGCCCACAAAATGGGCTTTCAAAGTTTAGGGATATGCCAAGATATTTTCTGGGACTCTAGCTGATAACATGTTCAAACATTTTTATGGATCATTTAGTCTGTTCTTAAAACTGAACTGAAAGACAATGGCTATAAAATCATACTCTCCAAATAAGGTATTCATATATCATTGATATCTTGAGAACTAAATAAAAATCCCCAAAAACAAACAAAGAAACCCATTCAAGACTCAAAGATTGCCTCACTAAAAATAATGTCTCTAAACTGGGCTTGGTGTCTCAGCCTGTAATCCCGCGCCTTTGGGAGACTGAGGTAAGTGGATTGCCTGAGCCCGCAGGTTCAAGACCTGCCTGGGCAACTTGGTGAGATCTCATCTCTACAATAAATAAAAAGTC